ATGTTAATACAGCGGGTAGATTCTGGGGTTGTCCTCTGGGGGCAGTGAAACAAGGACTATAGAAAATCCACATCAGTAAATAGCTGCTCTAATACTAGAGGTGTATAGCATGACAGTACTGATCGGAGAGGGACAAAAGTAATGCCTTTCTATCAGTGGAGGTCAAAATACACTGTTAGCATTTGAGATCTCTAGATGTGCCAGAGTGCGGGCATAACTGTAACAGGGGAGATTATATTATGAAACCAGTGCAAAACAAGGAATGTTTTTTTTGGAGTGGAGCGAATGGTGGGATAGGAAGATAACTTTGAGGAATGACTGCCTGCCAGCAGTTAACTTAAGATTTAGCATTTGACACAGCCCAGTTGAGAAGAAAGAACAGGAGGCAAAGGACAAAAGCAAAGAAAGACAATGAGGGGGGCAAGATTCAGTGACAAAAAAAAAATAAGCACATGTACTCCCCCAATTTCCTGTTTCCACCAAAAACATGGATTGTTTCCTTCTGTCTCATACTGGTGACAGATTGTGCAAAATGTATGTGGAGAGCTGGCTGGAACATAGCTCACAGCCTGCCAAGGACCAAATGTGTAACAATTTCAAAATGACAGCAACACAGCCATTAAATATTTGATGAGGAAGTCTTTTAAGTCATAGATTTCAAATCCCCTTTTAAAGCAGGGGAAGTATTTTATATTAATTTTACTCATTGAGAAATGTAAACAGAGTGAGAATTTGCTTATCCAAAGAGTTGCAGGCTGTTACAGGCCAGAACTGAGAACAGAGCTCTCTTTTATGAAACACTCAGTGCTCGTGATTAAACTGTCTGCAAATTATGTTTTTCCCCCATAACGCAGTTGTGTAACGTCTTCGCTTCAGTCTTCAGATTGGAAGGAAAGTAAGGTTCATCATAGGAGAGTGTCTGGTGGCCTAATAAAATCTCTCCCTCTTCCCCGTTTGTGGTGTTTGATCTGCACTGCTGTATTACTGCTTACTTACCCAGCTTGTTCCTAAGATGGCATTCACATCAGGTTATAGCAAAAATATATCCTTTGAATGCAGGAGGAATTGAAGTGGGTTACATTCTACAAGCTCCTGCTGTTTTCATTGGGCTCGACTACCTAATTAAAGATCAAGTCAACTTCCCAGTGTTGAGATTCAGGATGAAATCTACCACATGCAAGGATGATGAGCCTATCCAGCAAGGAAAATTAAAGATAAAAAAAGTCAAAGCTTCTGAAAGAAAGGGAAGGCCACCCAGCAAAGTTTATGAAAGGCGCACTCTCACTTGCTATGTGTAAGCTGCATAGCCTTAAGAACTAATCAGCAGCATACATTTCAGACTGGGAGAACCAGTTCTCATTATGCTTTTGTCAGCTCTGAGAATGAGAAAGATGTGGTGTAAGCACTGGTCTGGATGCTGGAACTCATGAATTCCAGTCCTGGTAATGACAAAAGATCACTGTGTGGGCAAGTCACTTAACCCCTCTGTGGTTCTCTTTTTTCAGAAGTGAAATGAGAATAGTATTTCCCACTCAGGAATGTGGAGGAAGATTAATTAATGTTTGAAAAGCCAATCTTGCAGTGGGAAGAGTTATATAAGAGCTAAGTGTTTATTAATGATCGCCCTTTTATAGAAACTACTTCTTAGCACAGTGATATGGTAGATTAATAAAATGTGCTCTATCTGGAAAATAAGAGATTAGAGTGAATTCAGGAAGATTCAGTCTGTTGGAGAAACCATGAAGTTCTGACTTAGCTTTTATTCTAGGAAAGTCTCACTGAAGCCAATCGTTCTTTTGCCTGACTAATATCATGATACCCTTTTTCCCCTGCAGAAGTCTAATTTGCTTGGGAAATAGGAAATCCCTGCAGTTTCAACTCTTGGCATCACTTCGGACTTTTTCCATGATAGAACATGCATTTGAAAGGTGGAAAATTCTAGACACCAGGAAAAAAAGCTGCTGGAAGCTGCAAAGCTTTGGTCCTACAAAGGATCTGCTAGGACTGTGTAAACTGAACTCCTTTGCCTCAGCTCTGGTCATAAAGTCCTCCAAATTCCTTTTTAGCTAGGCATGTCTCAACTTGCTGCCACCCTTGAAGGCCATCCGAAAGAGTTTTGGCAGTGGGAAGGGCTCAGCTGCAGAATTACTACTGCCTCAGCTTATATCGATGTTTGCTGTTTTTTCCTGGTGAGCTGATAACTTTCTCTCTGGAGAAGGGCAAGTCTGCAGACCCATCTGATTTCCTATGCTGTCCTAAACGCCACAGCTAAAATTCCTGCAGGATCCTGTAGGGAATGGAGGCAAGCCCACAGCCTTTGGACTTCCTGCTGGGAATGCAAGTTTCCTTTTGTGCATTGAAGAAAGATGTATGAGACCTATATTCAAGGACATGGTGCTTTTGTAAGGTAGCAACAGTAGAGCTAGAATTGTGGGTATGTTTTCAGGTAGAGCTGAATGAAATGAAGCCTGGTAGAATTTATAGAAATATTTTTTGTTTTGAAATTTAAAACTCCCTCTAATAGGTAAATGAGGCTGGGGTTTAGAGTTTATCTGATTTTGCAGCTAGGTTAGTATTAATGCAGGATCAAGATACATAAGAGCAAGGTAGAGTGGGATAGTCAGTCAGTCAATAGCAGCTATTAAGTCCAAGTGCTTCCTCCGTTGTCAGTACAGCACTGATCACCTGATAGTGCTCTGAAAATAATTTAAGTAGACAGAAGTTTTTGAGCAGCATCAGTAATTCATAGCAGAAGAATCATTTTTTAACTTTCATCTTCAAATGCACATAAGGGGGATAGAATGGGATACTTAGTATGATACTCAAATAATGCGCTGGAAATGTAAATCTCTCTCTCCATTCTAGGAAATGCTATAACATCTGTGTAATTAGAGGGGGTTATCTTTCTGAAATAATTTAAGCAGCGAGCATTTGTAGCTCACTTCGGTTTGATGATTACTTTTTTGTTACACTTTTTCCCCTATTCAAAAAGTAGAGACAAAGTCATACAGATCTGTGGATATCTTGTTGTTTGACTTTCTGTCAGCATCTGTTCCACTGCTTGTCCTTTGCTCTGTAGGACCACGGAGGAGGAGGAGTAGTTTCCCTCTCCGGAATGCATTAGAAGAATACATGGCTGGTACTAGAAGAAGGGAGACGGAACTGACGTTTTGTGGAGAGCATGCATCTAACACCAGTCTAGTTGTTCAAAATGTCTGGCAATAGAATTAGGTTTACATATGAAATGAGGGCAGATGCTTGAAAGAACGGATGTGCATATGTAGCTGAGCATTTTATTTCTCCCCAACTTTCCCCCCCTCCCTCCTGCAGGAGTTCTCATTTCTAAATCAAGGGTATTCAAAGACTTATGACACTGATGACTGTGTGATCATCACCTTACAGAATGGAGAAAACTGGGATAAAAGTGTTCCAGATCACTCATCTTATTCATATCATGATGTTGTTTTACACGTTTCTAATAAGGGAAAGTATTTTTCTTGAGGGAGTTTGCAAATCAGCTGGAAGAGATGGAGAATGAAATATGTTATCATGCTAGGCTTTGATTTACAATTTTCTATCATCTGTTCCAGAATGTGGACCATTCATTGGCTTTTTGTGAGTAGTAGCAGAAAAGTATAATAATGGAAGGTTTACTTATATGTAAGTGAATAATTGGGGCAGGTCTTTTTTTATTATTTTTTTGATTTATGGAGTCTTATGACATTCCCACACTCAGGTGTCTGGGGAATGGGAAGTACGTATCTATATACATTGCAGGATACCTTTTCAGTACCAGGGCTGAGTTAAGCTTTTATGAGTGGATGGTAACTTCCCCCTTGGAGATTTTTTCAAGGGGTCTAAGAACGAGACAGAGAACTAGATACTGCTGGGTTCTGTTGTCTCTTCTGGCACCACTTCCTTTGCCTTCCTAAGCAAGTTATGCAGGACAGAATACTGGGCATGACATTTATTCCTGTGTGAAATCCTTGAGGTTAATGAAGCTAATAAAGTGACTGAAAATGTGGCTGGGAGTAAAAATTTGCAGGAAGGGCACTAAGCTTCTTTGCCTTTATTTCCTAATCTTATAAAACGGCAATAATTGTATTTGGTAGACGAAATAGCTGTATAAAAGAAAATGGAGATTCAGAGACTGCTTTGAAGATGAAAAGAGATAACTTTTAGAGACAATAACATGAATTAAAAACTTTATAGAAGCTGAATTTGTATGTAATGAATCTTATGATGAAGCTTGCCCTTGTGGTGAGCATCCTGTGAATATGTAGACCTTTCATCACCCTGAATTGTTTGATCCTGTTCTTAATGTCTGTTGACTTAATCCTAAAATAAACAAAAGTTCAGAAGGAGGATTCTCTGTCACGCGTTTTATTATTTATTGGGATGCTGAATATGAAGTTTACCTGGGCAAATAAGTATCACTACTACATGTTCTTCTAGCAAGAAACTGTGGATGATTTCCATCTCCTTGTCTTGACTAGGAATCTGTGAATAAAGCTATTTATTACCCTTTTACAGAAAGCCTTTTTTAAAAAAAAATACTGTTTCCTCTTCTCAGAGATCAGTAATGAGGAAAATAATGTCTGTCCTTCTCAGTCCAGTTTCCATTGCTGTGCATTGTGCCAGCCCCAACATCGGAACTGGCATTTAATTTGATTTTATGTGCAATCTTGTTAGTAATCTTAGCAGAGAGGATTAGGGCTGTATGAGCTGCAGAGACTGAATGTGCATTTGCCTAGGCCTGTAGAAAGGACTGCTGGCAGCATGGTGGGAAGAAAGCTTGTCTGGGGACCTGCGGCTGCAGGGCTGCCCTTCTGTCACCTTTCACCAATGTCGGCTGGAAGAATTTTGGGCAGGCGCGTGGAGTGTGTGGTGCTGCTCTCAGGGGAGAAGGGAGCATTATTTGAGAGGATGCTGGCATTGTTGCAGATCACACTGATGTTTCCATTCTCTCTTCCCCTCCCTCATATCTCCTTTCCTTCCAGTCTGTGGCAAGCGTTACAAGAACAGGCCTGGGCTGAGCTACCACTATGCTCACACCCACCTCGCCAGTGAAGAGGGTGATGAAGCCCGCGAGCAGGAGACCCGCTCTTCCCCTGTCCACAGAAACGAAAACCACAAACGTGAGTAATATTTTCCCTTTGCCTTTGAGATGCTTTTCAGGGATGTTGCCTCCACCCTGTCTTTGCCTTGCGGAGGCTGGCGTGATTGCCTGGCTCCATTGTGAGTGATTGGGACCTGGATGCTTGGAGCTAATCAGCCGCAGCTCACACGGGTGCTGGCTCAGCTAGTCAGAAATTCATTTCAAACCCAGCATTATCTCTGCAGCAAGTCACTTTTCCATTACTGCTCCTGTGGGGAGGAGGTGCAGGGAAAGGGGGGAAAAGAAGAGATGCCCAACCTGCCCATCATCAAGCAGCCTCCCAGTGGCTGTTAGCAGGGATGTCAAGGAAATACACATCCAGTCGTTTGAGGGGGCTGCCTTTGTTTTGCCTTTGAATAAGAGACATTTATGTATGTCTCAGGTTTTTTAGGTATGAAATTCACAGCACCTTGTCCCCCTTATGCCTCCATCTCCTCCCCAAATGGCTAACCCTCAACTTTACCAAAAACCTCTTCTTAGTTGCAGTTTGGGAGAATCTATGAAAAAGCATCAGCACTGATCTGCAAGAAGGAGAGCTGGAACATGAGAGGAGAGAAGAGTTATGTGCCTAGATTCCCCACACTGATACAGGGCTGAAAGAAATCTTAGTGGTCCGGATGGCCCTATTTGACTGTCCTTCCTCTGCTGCTTAGGCACAGAACTGGGAGTCAAGGAGACTGTGTTTTATTACTGATTTTTGCAAGTCTCTAAGCCCCTGTTTCTTAGTTTTCCAGTGTGCAATACTATGTGATGTTTGCTTTCACCTTGCAATTTGTGTAGATAGCTTTGTTCACTTTCAAAAAGTCCTTTCAGATCACCATGTGAACTGTGTCATTTTGGTTCAAAGTAATGAACAATGTGGACAAAGCAATAAAATGCTTATGGGGAAAATATCCAGGCAAACACTTTCTAATACATTAAGAAGAACTGGGAGAAATATGGAAGTAGGAAAACATTTTCTTTCTAAGCAGGATAATTGATAATTGTCCCCAGGGAGGTGTGGGAGGGGGTTTCCTTCCTCCAAAGCATCTGCTGCTAGCCACTGTCTGAGCTTGAATGGCCGTTTAGTGTGATCCCATTTGGCAGTCCCTATGTTTCTGTCACTTTTATGCTCTACCTTTTAGTTATTCACATGTTTTGTATGTTCACAGCAAAAGTAATTTTGACTCCTCCAGCTGTTGGTAAACTTGAGCTGTCAATGCACTGAGAGTGACTGCTTGGGCAGGCTGGGGAATGTCAGTGTTCAGCCAGTAGCTTTTGTTTACTTAGCATTTATATAATCTCTGTTGTTGTTTTTTTTCCTGTCCCTGCAGTAGTCAGTAATAGTTGCATATCTGAGAGGCATATTGCAAATCTGTATTGAATTAATATTGATAATGGCCTTGCAGAGATGCCTGAACAAAGAAGGGTAGTGTGCCCTGCCCTTCAGCTTGTTTTAGAGGCCAAGGACAGTCTCAGTCCTTATGTTTCTGGTGTTTAGGAAATGATAGAAGTTAGCAAGAAGAGGAGCTAGAAAAGCTATGGTAAGGTTAGGAGCAGCTGGCCTTGGCCCATAGAAAGGAAGGTGCATTCTACACTATGGGAAAGGGTAGAGTGGGAGCTGCTCAGGCTTGTGTTCCCCCAGAGGTCCTGTGTGATGCATGTGGCAGAGGGAAGCTGCTGATGCACAGATCCCCAAACAGGCAGAAGTTTAGAGCCAGTGGGGTAAGCCACTCTGAGGTCCAGATTCCTGAGCAGAAAGAATCTGCTTAACAACCAGCCAGGAGCCAGTGAGGTACGGGCAACAGCCATGCGAATGTGAAGATCACCCCTGGGGAAAGTTCCAGACGCCGGAAGGTAACTCTCCCAAATGGCTTAGCTGTTGCAGTGGCTGTTTGTTCCTTTTTGCCTGTTTGTTTGTTTACAGCCTTGAGCTCAGATCTTGCATCTTTGCTCTTTCACTTGGCAATATTTAATTTATGCTGCCATTTATCTTCCATGTGAATGCTAATTGTCCACATTGCTAATGTGCAGTCATTAAATGGTCCCTTTGTACAGGGGGATGGTGGGGAGCCAGGGCATCAGATCCTTCCTCTCCCCTAAGAACTGCTAGGCATGTGTTATGAATTAGATTTGACAGGTCTGCAGCGTCGCAAGGCTCGGGCTTCAAGAATCCTCTCTGCATGGGCTTGGGGGGCCGGGGGGAGGGAGAGAGGGAGGGAAAGCGGGGGGGGATGTTAATCCAAACAGCTAATCCGCAACCTACTGAACAGGAGGACCAGAGATATGGTATAGAGCAGGGTCTGGTTATTTGCTTAGCAGTGTGTCAGAGAGATATGAGCAGCCTGATTTAGAAAAGGCAAGACAAATTCAAACCAGCCATTTGGAATTTGCCGTGCTGTGGGAGGTGAGCACTGGGTCAGCAAAGTTCAGGCGGGCGGCTGCAGTATGAACTTCCTTCCTTTGTACCCACATCTCCTCTGCAGCCTCCGTTCCTTGCAGTACCTGTGGTAATAGCAGCCATGCTGACACAGGAGGGAGCTTTCTGGAGCAGGGCTTCTGCAGGATTCAGCTATTGATGCCTTGGCTGGTGCCAGCTCAAGAGCTGATGGCCCCTTGTCTTTCTGCACACCCAGTCCCCTTTATCTTTACTCTTCTCATGCACAGACCAGTTTGGGTAGTTCAGTAAATTATCCAGGGACCAGAAAAGAGATGTAGATAGGAGGAACCTACCTGAAACTGAGAACCACTGAATAGCTGTGTGTCAAAGAACAGGGACTGGCCCAAGCCCCAAGTCTCACCTCCTTGGCACATCTCGCTGTCCTTGACTGTTGTAGAAGGTTTGTTTATTTACATCTCTCTCTCCTTCTGTCCTTTTTCCTCACCTGCAGATTACCCTTTGCAACATGGAAGATAGTTCACCAGTCTCCTCTGGCCTTTGCCTTTCCTAAAACTTCTTAGCCTGTGCTTTGTTTGAGCTTTAGTTGCTTTGTTTGTATGTCTTATCTAGCCCTTTGACACAGATAAATAGCCCTTTGTCAGTGCCTAGTCTTGCCTCTGCCTACACACACATTTATTTTTGACCTAGTCTCTGATTTTTTTACCTGAGTATGGAACTGTGAAGAAGAAGTTATAGAAAACCCTTAAAAAAGTCAACTCCCCCCTTCCTCAGCTCCACTGGTAAAAAGAAATGATCCCACACCATTCTCAGCCTTTTTTTCTGCTGGCTTTTCCTCCACATGTTGGCACCGAGAGCGTGAGATTTGTGAGCCCAGGGTGCATCCAAGCCTGCCACAGAACACCTGCTGTTTTATTCCATCTCACTCCATGGGTACAGGCCAGCTCTGGGGGCAGCTGGTGCTCACAAATTTTGAGACACTTCTGATATAGGAATTACATTAGACTTCTATCTATTGAAATGTGTGTGTGAATGAGTGTACTAGTATAAATGCTCTTCCTTAATTCCTGGGAGAATAGGATAGTGTGTCTACATGGAGAAAAACTTCCTCTCCGTTAAAGGAGAAGAGTTTTCAGTAGCATTTTTCTGTGTGAAACGTTGGTTACAGGCAGCTGTGCAGTAAACAGCAACTGAACAGATCTTATGCCCACAAGCACTTTGGCCAATGACAATCGTAAATAAAGCACATTGTGGGGGCTGTCACTGGCCTAGCTGCTGTGTGCAGGTTGGTCCATCCTACAATACATGTAGTTAATGAGAATGCAGTCATGTGCCCTCCTGTGACTCTGCTAGCTTGCACATCTGACCTGCAAAACCACCTGTGTACGTTATTTCATAGCATCAGCCTGTTGTGCCCAGTTCCATCGCAGATTTTATGATGTGGATAAATCTCTACTGGAGAGACCAGCCAAAGTTGTTTGTGTACTCTAAGCATAATTGGATACCCAGTCTCCAGAGATAAAAAATTAATGTGCTAACCTCAGTGTGCCTCCAAGCTGTCCTCCAGCTCCCCCACACAGTCATCTTTGAAACATTTTTATTTCCATCCAGGCAGGGGGCTGGCCATGAATAAATGACGAGAGTCAGCCCCTCAGTTGGAGACGAGCTGTTTGTTCCTCTCCACAAGCAGCATCAATTTGGAAAGCTACATCAGGCCTACTTTTTCCCTGCCTCAGTGCTGATCCTTGCTGGGGCCATGATGGGAGCTACTTCTGAATGCAAGGATGCATCAATGCCTACCTTGCAACAAGATACCCTGCAGCAGGTGCCTTTTCAGTGAAAATATGTACATTACCTTGAGTTGACTTCTCATTAGTTTAATCTGTTTGGTTTTTTCTTTTCCAGAGCTTGTTTTCTTAAGGAAAAAGAGAATACTAAAAGAAACAGTAGTGATTGCCGAGTTTGGGACTGTAATGATTTCCACTCAAACCCTGTTTGCAGCTATAAATCTCTCAGACTTGTGTGCCTGTATTTTGGTAGGGTGAAGAAAAAAAAAAGTTAGAGTTTTGGAATAGTGGAAAATCCCAAACTTGTCTCGTATGTAGAGGGATCCATAGGGGACATTTTGTTGTTTTGTTTGGAGTTGTGGAGGGTTTTTTTTATACTTTGGGGGGATTTTTTATATGCTGCTTGGCCAGAACCACTAATGTTGTTGTCAATGCACAACTCCCATTGAAGACAAATACCTAGTGCTTCTCAGTAGTTTATGGGGAAACATTTCCAATTTGACTAATAAGTTTTTGAAAACCATGTGTTGCTTCAATAACACGTCAGCTTTTGAGACAGAATGGTATCATCTATGTACTTATAATTTTTTTTCCTTTCTCACTATCTCCTTGCTTTTTTTCTCCTCCGTGTAGAGTTTGAACACAACTAAAATCCAAAAGTTTTGACTGAATTTGAACTTAGGTGCTCTGCCTTCTCACACTCCACCAGTGAGCAATTTCCAGATCTAAAGCCTACAACGTGTTGCAGGGACCCATTTCATGACACTGGCCAGTTTTACCTGAATACTGAGGGATGCTGCTGGACAGGGCTGTATA